GGGAGAACAGGGGATTCTGTGGCTATTATGTTGAACTGAATGGTGTTGTAAAATAATAATAATAATAATAATAATAATAATAATAATAATAATAATAAAAACCAAAAAAAAAATCAAAAAAAAAATAGACTTAATTACAGGTCCAAGTTTTAGTCTGTTCCAGGGAGGGTAGTGCTATCAGGTTTAGGATAACAACCAAAAAACATTAGAGATGAGGTCAAGGTTTACCAAGAATAAACTTCATCTGTAGGAAAGAATGCAGGCAAGGCAACTGAATAGAATGTATGGAGAGGACTTGTTTGGGGTCTCCGGAGTCTCCAGAGCAGCTTTCTTTGATCCTCTCACTGTTTGTGATGGAACAGCATGGTCTGAGAGGTGATGCTGAGCAAACATTTAGTTTAGGTACTGTGTCAGCCTGGGGAAGTCATGAGCCCTGGTCCTTGAGCTTCCTGACCTCTGTCCTGTGTGTGTCTGACTAGGGAGAAAGAATATGACAAAATCTTGACAGTTTCTCAAAGGAGGAAGGACAAATTGAGGATACTTATTGAAACTTTGAAGTCCAGTATAAAGGTAGGTAGATTAATGTGGGGATGGGAGTAGGCTTAGGTAAGAATTATGGCATGGTTGTTTCAGATTTGTGGACAACATAAGGTGATGATTTTGAAGAGAGAGATTCAAATGGTTATGGGGTGGAGTTTTGATGGATGCTCTATTTTGTTTGCTTGGACAAGAGTCTTGTAAAATAGTAAAGGTCATGTCAATGTGGACAGTAAGCCCTAAGGGGTGAGTGATTTTGTTTATCAGTTTCAAGGAGCACATGACTCCAGGTCAAATTTTCTTGTTTGTTTTTATCTCCTCATCTTCTGTCTCCCTTTTCCTCTCTTCCCCTTCCCTAATGCCTTTTCTCTCCCCTTCCCTCTTTTCCTTTTCTGATTCCTTTTTTCTCCTCCTCTCCCCCGCAAAATCTCTCAATTTTGTTTTCTTTCTTTGTTTATTGACATGGAGCCTCCCTGTGGAGGCCAAGCTGGCCTTGAGCTCACTAGACAGCCAAGGCTGGCCTCAAATCAGCTATCTTCCTGTTTGCCTCTTGAGTCTTGAACTTACAAATGTGAGCCATGAGGCTCAATTCCAGGTAAAATTTCCACGTGCTCTTGAGGTAGAAGAAAATCCACAGAACTATGTGGTTCTCTTTGTTCCTCTTTTCCCATGAGTCTCAAATAGTTCAGTACTTAAATATTTATAGCCATGCTGTTTCCTTAAACTCCATTTAGAACATTATTTCCCTTGTTTTTTGTTATATTCATTTTCTGTTTCTGCTGCAGCAAATTGTCATAAAACTTAGTGGTTTAAACAAGAATTTAAAGAAAAATGAAATTAGAAGTTTGATATATATGTCTTTGGACAAAACCAAAGTATTAGAATGTGCCCCCTTCTGAAGTCTGAAGGAGTCCTTTTTTTTTTTTTTTTGCCTTTTTTTAGCTTCTGGAGTTTCTCATACATCTCTGTTGATTGTACCATTCTCTGTCTTCCATGGCAGGATAACAGGCTGGGTGGTCATTGGTTCTCAGTAGCCAGGAAAGATTCTCTGCTTTTAATTCCTTATACTTGTATTGACCCCAACAGGTTAAGCCAGGATAGACTCCTTGTCTTATGGGAATCTTCATCTTATAGCCTCTGTGTCCATTTAAGATTAAGTACTCACAGGTTCTATAGGTAAGAGCATGGGTGTTTGGGGGACAGAATTCTGCCCACGTATAAACACTTTCTCTACACTATACCCTGACACAATATATTCACAAATATTCTTATAAGATGTGTGTGTGTGTGTGTGTGTGTGTGTGTGTGTGTGTGTGTGTGTGTGTGTGTTTTACCTAGCAGGCTCAATCATCAAGAGAAAAGGTAGGTTGCTTCTTCTGTTTGTTGATATCTACCTGATTATAGTTAAAACTTGATACCTGAAGCTAGATTTTGTCTGTCTAACAATCTCCTGTGTTGCTGTGGGGCTGGCTGTGCCCTCTCTGGTTGTTGAAGTCACTGTAAGCAGATGGGGGTCACAAGGTATCTCTAGCATGCTTTAAGTAGTCCCCTTGTTTTTGGTTAGTGAAAACATCAGTGGTCTTAAAGGTTGTTAACTAGGTGTCCTTGTTTCAGTGGCTTTCCCATCTTTTATGTAATTCAGTGCTTTCAACTAGTTTTTAAATTTGTAGCAGAGTAGGAAAATATTCAGTTGTTACTGGCCAGTTTCCCATTAACTTAGCATCCCATAGGTAAGCTGTTTTTGGTTTTCCTTCAAGATGTTCATAGCTTTCCATTAATGCCTGGACCTACTAGATTCTGTGCTGCTGGGACTCATGGTTTCATGGTCTCCAGTGCTCTGGTATTCTCTGTGTTCATGGTAACTACACTGTGATGATGGGAAGAACATTTTATATTCTTGCTTTCTTACTTATAGTGCAACTTGCAAACAAATCTGGTGTGCAGATATGTGCAGGACAAATGCTGTCTGTTTGGCCCTGAAACTCCTAAGAACAGCTTCTCATCACTCAGTTCTCCATATCCATCAGGCAGATTGGGTTGGCATAAACACTTCTGAAAATTACAAGGTTTAATGAATGTAAGATATTTTTTCCTGTTTGAGCTATTAGATAAATATTAATAATATGCATGCTTGTTTTATTTCTGTTCTAGACTCACCTTGAAATTCTGGAGAGAAGCATTGATCCCAGGCAAGTCTACTTCAGGCAAGACAGTCTCTGCCAGACGTTGGGAGGGAATCCATGTCCATTGGTGACTATCACTGCCTTTCCTGAATCTAACAGCGCCCAGCATCTGGAGCAGTTCCGTGAGTAGAATGACCCTCTTCTTGCAAATTTGGCTGAGAGGTCCCTCTGAAGTCTTGGTAATGCTCCTTCTGTTTTAGAACAGAAGTCTGTATCTGACTGGGGACTTGTCTGTCTTGATAGAAATACATCACTGTGTCTTCTTGATATGACACCAAGAGTAAATGTTAATATCATTCTGTGGTTAAAGAATGGGGGGAAATGTGGTTAAAGAATGAACGGCTGACTGTCAGGAAATCACCTGCTAGGATACAGAGCAGATCACACATGATGGTGACTTCCTCCTTGAAAATAGAACCAGGCCCCTGAATCACATTTTCCAACCTCTAGCCCAGGCTCTTCTCTCTCCATGCTCTTTGTTGTTCTGTGACTCTCAGCCAGTCAGTATGGGAAGGAAGGAAACAGAATCTTTGAGCCCTGGGTGATGAATTCTCTTGGTAACCTGAGTAGCTGCAGCTCAATGTCTGAGGATATAGCCAAGAACTCTGAAATCAAAGCAAAGCCAAATCAAGAGCACAGTAGAAACATTGACATCGATTCACATGTGTATTCTTAGGCAGCCATATGGACATATGGTTGCACACAGACACCCCCAAATACAGATCCATGATGCCCTTTTAATATGGAGTTCTGAGTATAAGCATGGCTGACTTGTTAGCAATGAGCTTCAGACCTTCAGAAGAGAAACAAAAGAGAATGAGGAATGATTTGCAATAAAAAGAAATTTGGAAGATGAAAGAAAAGACTGGAGAACAAAAGCCAAGTGAATTTATTCCCAGAACATACCATCTTACCTGATGAAGTGCTAATGGTGTTCAGGTGACTCTTGGGTAGATACAAAATGTAATTTCTCACATCCCATCAGTGTCTGACAATGGATGCTTAACAATCTGGCAATTCAACAACTGATTATCCCATCGGAATTAACAAGGCCCTAAAGTGCCTTAATGAATAGTAAGGGATTTTAAAAAAATTCTCTTATGTGTTTTATGTATTTAAGAGCAATTTCCCAGCAGCCACAGAGCCCTTCACTTGGCAAATGAGCAGAGCCAGGGAGTTGGAGGTAGTAATCCAGGGCAATCTTCACTGGGTAATTATTTATTTAAGAAAGTAGATACATATAAGTCTGTGTTTTCCAAATTCTGTTTCTAAGGAGGAGAACATAAAAGACACATGAAAACAATATATATATTTCAAATAATCATATAAATAACAAGCAGAAATCAGCCTCCATTGATTCATAATTGTCTTTCCTTCTTATTTCTCCTCCTCCTCCTCTTCCTCTTCCTCCTCCTCTTCTTCCTCTTCTATTGACAAGTTTCTTGGAGTTTGGGTTTTGGGGAACTTCCAATCCTCTGGTCAAATAAGAATGATTTCTTTATTTAAAATGTATATTTTCTATTCTAGGTCTCTGGGCTTCCCAACCTCTGGGTCTTGGTGCTCCGGGAAGTGTCAGGGGTGGGCTCACTCTCATGGCTTGGGTTTCAGGGGAGACCTGTCATTGGTTGGCCACTCCCATATTCTCTAGGCCACCCTTATCCAGGCTTATCCCTTAGACAGGACAGACTGTAGGTTGAAAGTTATGTGGCTGGGTTGGTATCCCCATTCCTCCACTGGAAGTCTTGCCTGGTCACAGGAGATGACCAGTTCAGGCTACATAGCTGCAATTGTTAGGAGTCTTAGCTGAGTCATCCTTGTAGAATCCTGGGAGTTTCCCTTGCACCAAGTTTCTACCTGACCCTGAAATATCCCCCTTTTCCAGTTGGCTCTTTTGGTATTTCCCACACCCACCTGATTTCTCATGTTCTCATCCCCACTCACCCCCAGTCATCCAACAACTGGTAGAAATTAGATGCAGAGACCCACAGTCAAACATTAGGCCAAGCTTTGGGGAGGAAGGATTGTAGGAGCCAGAGGGGTCAAGGACATCACAAGAACATCAACAGAATCAACTAACCTGGGCTCACAGGGACTCACAGAGTCTGAACTGACAACCAGTGAGTCTGCATGGAACTGACCTAGACACTGTGCATATATATGTGACAACTGTGTAGCTTGGTCTTCTTGTGGGATTCCTAACAGTGGGAGCAGGGGCTGTCTCCTACTTTTTTTTACTGGCTTTTCGGACTCTACTCCTCATACTAGGTCACCTTGCCCAGCCTTAATACATGGGGAGGTGCTTAGCCTTACTGCCACTTGATATACCATGTTTTGTTGATATTCATGGGAGACCTGAATAGAAATGGGGGAGGAGTGGATGGGTGGGGCAGAGGGGAGGTGGAGAGGTAGGAATGGGAGGAGAGAAGGGAGGGGAAACTGTGCTTGGGATATCACATAAATAAATAAATAAATAGAAATGTATATTTTCACATGTTTATCTGCTTAGAAGAGCTATGGCTTTGTTTGATGTCTATCCTTCACCTTTACCATCTTGAAATTCTTTAAAAAAATAGTTTCTACCAGGTATTTGTGACAACATGGAAGGAAATTCAAGGACTTTGACTAAGTAAGCCAAGTCAGTCAAGAAGGACAAATACCATATGATCTCATTTATATGTGGGAGCTAAAAATGTAGCTCACAGAATCAGATACTCTGCTGTTAACTTCTTTTAGTCAACCTGACCCAAATTGTAGTTAGGTGACAAGAGGGGAACCTCAGTTGCCTCCAAAAAATTGGCCTGAGGACTTTATTGACTTCATTTATTGATTTAAGTTTGACGTGGGAGGTCTCATCCCACTGTGGACAATGCCCAGATGGTCCTGGCTTGTATAAAAGTAAACCAAGCAAGTCATGGAGAGCAAGCAAATAAGACATGTTCTGTGGCCTCTGCTTCAGTTCCTGCCTCTGGTTCCTGATCTGCTTGAGTTTCTGTCCTACTTCCTCAGTGATGAATTGTGACATAGAACAGTAAACCAAATAAACCCTCTTCTCTCCCAGTTTGGTTTTGGTTAGTGTTTTATGAGAGTTATAGAGAAGTGAACTAACACAGACTCTAGTAGTGATTTCTAGAGACTGGGAAGAGTACTGGGGGAAGAAAAGAGGGAGGGGGTAGGCAGTGGGTACGGTGATGCTATTGGACAGGAAGAGAAACTTCTAATGCTCTGTGGCACAGAGAAATAACTAACCACAGCTGTTAGCAATTCATTGTAGTAGTTGAAAGTATCCAGTACAGAGGGTTTTGATATTTTAGTCATAAAGAAATGCTAAATGTTTGAGGTGTTTTATACATCAAAAACTTTTTTCAGATCATGCCTCATTGTAAAACTACTGAAGTCTCACACTACCTCATAAATATGTGCATGTTTTATGTCTATTAAAAAACTTAAAAAAATCAAAAATTAAAAATTAAGGGCCTCAGCAAAGAATAAATAAACAAACAAGTTTTGACAAGGAGTCCTGGATTTACATTTTGCAGTGGGTTTTGCAAATTGTATATCTGATTCTGGATGATCCAAGGTTAATGAAAACATAGGCAAGGATGGTGCTTTTCTATATTACCATCTTATTTTTCCAGATCATGTAAGAAGATTTCCAGCTTATTTTGACCACTCATTCACTTAAAAATAAACAAACAACAAAAACAAACAAAACAACCCACCTTAGTTGTGTGTGTTATGTGGCTATCTTCGTTAGAGTATTTTAATTTTATTTCTGTGATAAAACACCATGAGCAAAAGCAATTAGGGGAGAGGAAAGGGTTTATTTCAGTTTACAGTCCATTCCACATCACAGTCCATCATTGACGGAAGTCAGAGCAGGAACTCAGGGCAGGAACCTGGCTGTGATGCAGAGCCCATGGAGGAAAGCTGCTTAGTGGCTTGCTCCTCATGGCTTGCTCATTCTACTTTCTTATAAACTCAGGACCACTAGTATCACCTGCTGTGGGCTGGTCCCTCCCACATCAATCATTAATCAAAACAGTACCGCATGGACTTACCAATGGGCCAGTCTTGCGGAAGTGTTCCCTTAATTGTGGTTCTTTCTTCTCCGTTAGCTGTAGCTTGTGTCAAGATGGCATAAACTGAACCAGCACAGTGACTGATGGTTATCTTTCATTATGAGGATTCATTTCAGCAAATCCCGTTTTACAGGTGTGACAAGTGGGCCTCAGGGAGGTTCAATACCGTGACCGATGGCAGTGCCAGATTTTTAACTTTGCTATTTTTGACTCCAGAGTCTACAAAAAAGTAAATGTGTTGACTCCATCATCATGCTGCGCAGCAGTATTCTGGCTTCACTCTCTGAGCAAGAACTTCCTCTACTCCCTTTGTACTCTGTCTACAATTTAATAGGAAGTAGGGTAGTTGTTGTGGCAACTCATATTAATAAACCCCAGATATCCTGCTCTCTGGCTGCTTACAATGAGTTTTATTTATGTTTTTCTTTTTAATGGTAAATGTAGACTGTTCCAGATACAGGAGCAGGGAGGCATAGATTATATTCTTTTGACTTCAGGATCTTTCCTTCAATCCCTCCCATCCCACGGCAGAGCTCAGATTGCAGAGACTGGATTTAAATGTGCGTGTGTCGGGGGAGCGGGGCACAGACTCACCACAGCCATATAATTAAAATTTTTTTTGTTATATTTTTTATTCTTTGAAAAATGTATGCATGTATACAATGTGTTTTTATCATATCTTTCTTCCTCCTGGGGTCTCCCCAACACATCTCCCTCCAAACTTCATCAATATTATTAGCATCATCATTATATTTAACCTACTGAATTCAATTAGTGCTGCCCATATGCACATGGCTGTAAGCACATTTTGCAGTGCATAAATGCCATCTCTGGGTCTGTAAAATAAGAATGACCCAACACAACATAAACACCATCTACTTCAAAGCGCAATTAACCATGCCTGTAATTCAGAAGTAAAACCACTTAACTTCCCGTGAACCATAGAACTCGATGTATTGATTTAGAACACAGCAAATGAGCCAGAGGCTCAAGGTTCTTTGCCTCCAGGCTTCCCTTCAGGTGAGCTTAAATTGTCTCACTTG